CAAATCCCCCCAAAAACCCAACCCAAGCCTCAAATCCCCCCAAATTCCCCCAAAAAGCTCCCCCAGACCAGGCTCTGCTGCCGCTGCTGCTCCTCCATGATCCCGACCTGCGCCAGGCCTGGGCTCACCTGGGACGGGGGCACGGGGGGTCAGGGGGGCTCCAGGGATCAGCCCCCCCAAATCCCACAGAAAACACCAAAAATCACACAGAAAACACCAAAAATCCCACAGAAAACACTAAAAATCCCACAGAAAACACCAAAAATCACACAGAAAACACCAAAAATCACACAGAAAACACTAAAAATCACACAGAAAACACCAAAAATCCCACAGAAACCACCTCAAATCTTGAAAAAAATGACACCAAATCCCCCCAAATGACCCCAAATCCCACAGAAACCACCCAAAATCACACAAAAAACACCTCAAATCCCACAAAAAACACCCCAAATCCCACAAAAACCATCTCAAATCCCACAGAAACCACCTCAAATCCCACAAAAAACCACCCCAAATCCCACAAAAACCAGCCCAAATCCCCCAAATAACACCCCAAATCCCACAAAAACCATCTCAAATCCCACAAAAACCACCCCAAATCCCATAAAAAAACACCCCAAATCCCACAAAAACCATCTCAAATCCCACAAAAACCACCCCAAATCCCCCAGAAAACACCCCAAATCCCACAGAAACCAGTCCAAATCTCACAGAAACCACCCTAAATCCCACAAAAACCAGCCCAAATCCCCCAAATAACACCCCAAATCCCACAAAAACCACCCCAAATACCCCAGAAAACACCCCAAATCCCACAGAAACCAGTCCAAATCTCACAGAAACCACCCTAAATCCCACAAAAACCAGCCCAAATCCCACAAAAACCACCCCAAATCCCATAAAAAAACACCCCAAATCCCACAAAAACCATCTCAAATCCCACAAAAACCACCCCAAATCCCACAAAAATCAGCCGAAATCCCACAAAAACCACCCCAAATCCCACAAAAAACCACCCCAAATCCCACAAAAACCAGCCGAAATCCCACAAAAACCACCCCAAATCCCACAAAAACCACCCCAAATCCCCCCTTACCTGCGGCTGAACCCCCGAGGTGACGGGGAGAGTCCCCGGCTGCTTGGGCAGGAACGGGGGAGCCCCAGGAACAGGGGCCGAGCCCCCCAGCTGTGGGGACAGGAAAATTTGGGGTCTGGGGGCGCAGCAAAGACACCCCAAAAAGAGATTTGGGGACATCAAAGACACCCCAAAAAGAGTGGGGGGACAGGAAGGACCCCTCAAGAAAGGGATGGCGGCGCTGAGGGTTGAGGGGTGGGAAACGTGAGGGGAGAAAAGGGTGGAAATGTGAGGGGAAAAGGGTGGAAATGTGAGGTGAAAAGAGTAGAAAATGTGAGGGGAAAAGAGCAGGAAATGTGAGGGGAAAAGGGGGGGAAATGAGGGGAGAAAAGGGCGGGAAAACGTGAGGGGAGAAAAGAGCGGGAAACGTGAGGGGACAAAAGCAGGAAATGTGAGGGGAAAAAGGTGGAAAAGGTGAGGAGAAATAGGACGGGAATCGTGAGAGGAGAAAGAGTGGGAAACATGAAAGGAAAAGGGTGGAAATGCGAGGTGAAAAGAGTGGGAAACGTGAGGGGAAAAGGGGGGGAAACGTGAGGGGAGAAAAGGGTGGGAAACGTGAGGGGAGAAAAAGAGCAGGAAAAGAAAAAAAGAGAAAAAAAAAGAAAAAATATAAAAAGAAAAGAAAAAAAGAGAGAAACAAAAAGAACCAGATTTGGGGACATCAAAGACACCTCAAAAAAGAGTGGGGGGACAGCAACAACTCCTCCAGAGAGAGATGGCGGTGCTTGTGGAGGAAGCAAAGAGTGACCCAGCACATAAAAGGGTTGAGGGGTGGGAAATGTGAGGGGAGAAAAGAGCGGGAAACGTGAGAGGAAAAAGCAGGAAAAGGTGAGGACAAACAGGACGGGAATCATGAGAGGAGAAAGAGTGGAAAACATGAAGGGAAAAGGGTGAAAATGTGAGGTGAAAAGAGGTAGAAAATGTGAGGGGAAAAAGGATGGGAAATGAGAGGGAAAAAGGGTGGGAAATGTGAGGGGAAAAGAGTAGAAAATGTGAGAGGAAAAGAGCGGGAAATGTGAGGGGAGAAAAAGAGCAGGAAAAGAAAAAAAGATAAAAAAAATGATTTGGAACATCAAAAACACCCCAAAAAAGAGTGGGGGACAGAAGCAACACCTCAAAAAGGAGATGGAGGCACTTGTGAGGGAAGAAAAGAGTGACCCAGCACGTAAAAGGGTTGAGGGGTGGGAAACGTGAGGGGAGAAAAGAGCGGGAAACGTGAGGGGACAAAAGCAGGAAATGTGAGGGGAAAAAGGCGGAAAAGGTGAGGAGAAACAGGATGGGAATCATGAGAGGAGAAAAGAGTGGGAAACATGAAGGGGAAAGGGTGGAAATGTGAGGGGAAAAGGGGGAGAAATGTGAGGGGAGAAAAGAGCGGGAAACGTGAGGGGAGAAAAGGGCGGGAAACGTGAGGGGAGAAAAGGGCGGGAAACGTGAGGGGAGAAAAAGAGCAGGAAAAGAAAAAAAGATAAAAAACCTGATTTGGGACACCAAAGACACCCAAAAAAAGAGTGGGGGGACAGCAACGAGCCCTCAAGAAACAGATGGCGTCACTTGTGAGGGAAGAAAAGAGCGACCCAGCACGTAAAAGGGTCGAAGGTAGGAGAAATCCGTGAGGGCCTGCGGGATTTTGGGGGGGGTTTTGAGGGGTTTTTGGGGTGTTTTTGGGGGACTCACCCCGCGCTGCTGGTCCATCTTGTGCTGCTGCACCTGCTTGTGGTTGGTGATGACCTGGCGGATGCCGTTGACGAAGCCGCTCTGGTCGTTGGGGATGAGGCCCATGAAGATTTTCTTCTTGGAGGAGTAGAGCAGCATCAGCACCCGCACCTCGCAGGGCGCCGTGTGAGGGAAGTGCACGCAGCCGGCCTGGGGGGAAACCGGGAATGGAGCGGGAATGGGAATGGGGTGGGAGAGGTTTTGGGGTCTCTGAGGGTGGTTTTCGGGTCCCTGAGGTGGTTTTGGGGACCCTGAGGTGATTTTTGTGGTCCCTGAGGTGTTTTTGGGGTCTCTGAGGGTGGTTTTCGGGTCCCTGAGGTGTTTTTGGGCTCTCTGAGGGTGGTTTTGGGGTCCCTGAGGTGTTTTTGGGGCCCCTGAGGTGGTTTTGGGGTCTCTGAGGTGTTTTTGGGGTCCCTGAGGTGATTTTTGGGGTCTCTGAGGTGATTTTGGGGTCCCTGAGGTGATTTTGGGATCTCTAAAGGTGTTTTTGGGGTCCCTGAGGTGTTTTTGGGGTCCCTGATGTGTTTTTGGGGTTCCTGAGGTGATTTTGGGGTCCCTGAGGTGTTTTTGGGGTCCCTGATGTGTTTTTGGGATCTCTAAAGGTGTTTTTGGGGTCTCTGAGGTGTTTTTGGGGTCCCTGAGGTGTTTTTGGGGTCCTTGAGGTGTTTTTGGGGTCCCTGAGGTGATTTTTGGGGTTTCTGAGGTGTTTTTGGGGTCTCTGAGGTGATTTTGGGGTCTCTGAGGTGTTTTTGGGGTCCTTACGAAGCCGTTGCCCATGATCCTGTAGAGCCCCTTGAGCGACTCCAGGTCCTTGTTGGTGAAATGGAACTGAACCATCCGGGAATTCCGGAAAAGGGGACCCAGGGTGGTCTGGTGGGGCCAAAAAAGGGGGTCAGGACCCCCCAAATCCCACAAAAAAACCATCCCAAAACCCAAAAAAAATCCAAATCCCACAAAAAAACCGCTTTGAATCCCATAGAAACCACCAAAAATCCCACAAAAAACACCCAAAATCCCAGGAAAAAAACCCTCAAGTCCCAAAAAATGACCCCAAATCCCCCCAAACGACCCCAAATCCCACAGAAACCACCAAAAATCCCACAAAAAACACCCAAAATCCCAGGAAAAAAACCCTCAAGTCCCAAAAAATGACCCCAAATCCCCCCAAACCCCACAAAAAAACCCTCGAATCCCAGAAAAACCGCCCCAAATCCCACAGAAACCACCAAAAATCCCACAAAGTGACCCCAAATCCCCCCAAAATGACCCCAAATCCCACAAAAACCACCAAAAATCCCACAAAAAAATCTCAAATCCCATAAAAACCACCCCAAATCCCAAAAAATGACCCCAAATCCCATAAAAACCACCCAAATCCCAAAAAACGACCCCAAATCCCCCCAAAATGACCCCAAATCCCACAAAAACCACCAAAAATCCCACAAAAAAATCTCAAATCCCATAAAAACCACCCCAAATCCCAAAAAATGACCCCAAATCCCATAAAAACCACCCAAATCCCAAAAAACGACCCCAAATCCCCCCAAAATGACCCCAAATCCCACAAAAACCACCAAAAATCCCACAAAAAAATCTCAAATCCCATAAAAACCACCCCAAATCCCACAGAAAACACCCCAAATCCCAGAAAAAAACCCAAAAATCCCAAAAAATGACCCCAAATCCCATAAAAACCACCCAAATCCCAAAAAACGACCCCAAATCCCCCCAAAATGACCCCAAATCCCACAAAAACCACCAAAAATCCCACAAAAAAATCTCAAATCCCATAAAAACCACCCCAAATCCCACAGAAAACACCCCAAATCCCAGAAAAAAACCCAAAAATCCCAAAAAATGACCCCAAATCCCATAAAAACCACCCCAAATCCCAAAAAATGACCCCAAATCCCCCCAAAATGACCCCAAATCCCACAAAAACCACCAAAAATCCCACAAAAAAACCCTCAAATCCCAAAAAATGACCCCAAATCCCACAAAAAAACCCTCAAATCCCATAAAAATCGCCCCAAATCCCACAGAAACCACCCCAAATCCCACAAAAAATGAGCCCAAATCCCAAAAAATGAGCCCAAATCCCACAGAAACCGACCCAAATCCCAAAAAATGTGCGTAGATCTCAGAGAACAACCCAAAATCCCAAAAAACGACCCCAAATCCTACAAAAAACCACCAAAAATCCCAAAAAATGACCCCAAATCCCACAAAAAAACCACCAAAAATCCCAAAAAAGACCCCAAATCCCAGAAAAATGAGCCCAAATCCCAGAAAACGACACCAAATCCTAAAAAAAACCACCAAAAATCCCAAAAAATGACCCCAAATCCCACAAAAAAACCACCAAAAATCCCACAAAAACCACCCCAAATCCCACAAAATTGACTCCAAATCCCAAAAAATGACCCCAAATCCCAAAAAACGACCCCAAATCCCACAAATCGACCCCAAATCGCACCAGGAGCTGCTGGGGGATCAGCTGCATGATCAGCTTCTGCGGCCACTGATCCGTTTTCCTGGGAAAAACAGGGAAAAAATGGGAAAAATGGTAAAAAAATGTAAAAAAACGGTAAAAAAATGAGAAAAAATGAGAAAAAATGGTAAAAAAATGAGAAAAAATGATAAAA